GGAGGAGAGAAGGGGTGTGGCCAGGGCTACAGCGGGGCGCTGCTACACGGCCCGTCCCGCCGCGCTGCACCGCCTGCTGGGAGGGCTCCGCTCCGGTCGGCGGGGAGGGAAGGACGAGGACTGCCCTGACGGGCTTGCTGCAGGGTGCTCCCGTCCTCCACGCCGCCACCCCCTACAGAGCAGCCGGAGCGGAACAGCTTGCTCGGCTGGTGCCTGGAGCCGGCCCTGTCTGTACAGTACCCTAATATCTCCTATATAATTCAACATTCATGTTTTCTTTCTAGCATCTTGACATCAACTTTTCAATCAAAAATCTGCTGCTTGATACGGCTCCCTTGTTTTTGTTCTTCCTTCTCTTTCCATTCTTCATTCATACGCTAAAGTGGACTGTAAAAGGTATTTGCTACACCTGTTTTGGTCATTTCTATTCCTTCCCTCTGATCTTCCTGTATTCCACTTGAAATATCTTTTTTCTGTTAAACATTTTTCTCCTTCATTCCTCATGTCCACCACTTCCCTGCCTCACTCTCTCTCCCAAATGAGTGTCTTACCCTAAATGTTCTAGTTTCTCATTTTGCCCACAGCTGCTCTTTCCCCCACTCCATACTCCTGTATTCTCCCCTTAATTACTTGGATGATTATTCCCTCACGGGTCCTCTTATTCCTCTGATCTTGGCTAACCATGCAGGGCTTCTTCACATGCAGCTCCTACGCCACCAGGCTAGGGAAGAAGCAGGGTTGGGAAGAAGCAAAGGTTTCCTCCACCTACAGTGGGAACTGTGTACAGAGGAGTGTGTATTCCACTTTACAGGAGGGCAGAACAATCAGAAGTTTCTATTTCTATTCATTTCAGAATATGGAGGGAACCAGCAAAAGAATTCCTCCATCCCTCCACCACAAGGAAGACAAAGCTGAGCAGCAGGAAAATAATAATCTTTTCCGCTTCTCCTCAAACACCCAGGGAAGATGGAAGTGCAAGCAGGTTTTCCTTCTTACCTAGTCGTGTACACGAGCAACTTATATGCCTGTAAGACAGAGAAGAAAAACTGCCAGCTCCAACATCTTCCCTTCCTCTGGATATCTTTGGGGTTGGGAACATCATCAATGTGTATGAAGTTTGTGGGAGACCCAACTCCTCCATTTGTGCAGTTGTTGTGCTCAGGGTTTGAATTCCTTTACAGCAATGAGTCAAGTAGTCATCCAGAAATCCACCTTACCTTAGAGACTCCAGATCCATTCCATATATCTCTGATTCATCCTACATGGAAATATTAATAAAACATTCATTCCAAACACTAACATCGCCAATACAGAGCCTCCTGCAGAGAAAGGCAATCACTCTCTACAGGAATTTGAGATGGTAGACACTCAGAGACACAATGCCTACATACAATAAGTGTTTAACACTAACATACAACAGGAACTGGCACCCTATAAATACCCAGGAGAGAAAGACAATTAAATAGATCATAAGATTAATGATGGACAATTCCTTACTCATGAAGCAGATATCACAGTCTCCCATCATGCATTTGATTTATTCTAAGATGGTAAATATAATTTATTAAAAACAAAACACCACCATAAGAACCAATCATCATATAGGTAAATATATATACAAAATGTGTACTGAATTTTCAACTTTTCTGTATCTGTAAATGTCTCTGAGCTTATTCCATAAAGGCTGCAATTTTGCAGCTAGCAGACAGGAAGTAAAAGACATCGGAATAAAAAGTAGCATCTTTTCCTGGGGAGGGAGCACCGAAACTCAAATATTGCTGTTAGGTAAATGTTTGTTATAACATAATTCAAACTTATCTGATTGCAAGCATTATCCAGAATTTTACACATTACTTTTCTTCTTAATAATAATTGCTTAAAAAAAAAGAATTTACATGACAGGCTCCTGGATATTGGTTAAGACACTTCAGGAAGCATAGCATCTAGTTTGCTAACACAGAAAATTAATTGCTACATCAAGGATACACCTATTTTCATATAGTTTTATGTCAACCTCCTAGCTAACCATTCTATCAAAACATCCCATCCTCAAAGTACGTCTTCCAAACTCTTAACTTCTTCCCCTCTCTAACCAGCTTTTACAGTTCTGAAAAAGGGTCAAATGAATAGCAGCCAGCCAAGTGGAGGTCAGAACCTTCTCTAAAACTTCTCCATTACTAGCTCCATTTTAGGTTTTGCCTCTTTTCTTTTCCAGTTGTTTTCTGGGGCCACTGTAACCGAGGATTTCCTCTCTGTTATCAATACAACATTACTTCACTGTCTACTGACACAAGTAGATATATTCTCTATGAGGAAAGGTTGGAATACTAGTGGCCACATGCTTGTTACTCTCTATGATAAAGTGTGTTCCTATTCCAGTTTCTCTTTTTGATACAAGTCTTACGCCTTGGCAACACTTGCAAGTTAGAGCACATTAAATCAGTCCCAGGCACCCTAACTCCTGTGGTGTCCACACTGGCAAGGCACTTAGAGCGGCTGGAGCGCTCCTGGTAATCCACCTCCATGAGAAGCATAGAGCTTGCTGCGCCCTGGCTGGAGCTCTGGGGTGTCAGTGTGGACGATGTATTGCATTACTGTGCTGTGATTGGCCTCCGGAAACATCCCATAATCCCCTGCAGTCAAGTGGCCACTCTGGTCATTGTTTTGAACTGGGCTGCAGGCATGCAGATATCCCCTTTCAAAGCTCCATTTCTGACAGCCAGCATGCTTATCTGCTCTGGGACGCAAAGCAAACCATTACTGTGGAATGCTCCTGCTGCAGGGGCAGGCGTTTGTGAGTGTGAGAAAGAGAGAGGCCGGGGGTAGGGGCTGATGTCAGGTTTCCCCCTGCCACTGTCTGAACTTACAAGATAGCATGCTGACACGCTCTGCCCCTCATGCTTTGCAAACCCTTTCCAAAGCATGCTGCAGCCAC